ACCGGCTCACCTTCTCTGCCCTAGGAGCCTGGGATGGAGGTGGGGAGCTTCCTCTAGAAATGATTTTCAATCATTGAAACTAAGGAAGCCTGTGTCTATAATAATTAACCTGATAAAGACTTAAAACTAAATAAATAAATCTGATGTGGGCAATAAATAAATAAATAATATATGTACCTGATACCTCCAAAAAAATCCCAAGGAAGCTAGTTTTTAAAGAAGTATTATGTCTAATTATGTCAGCTTTATAGTTACTAATATTATACCAAAATAAAGACATGTACGATATAGATATAACTTATTGTCATGAGCATCATTATAATTAAAAGTCATAGTCAAGCTTGTAATGTGTGAAACTATCTCCAAATAGAAAGAGAGAATTAACATTTTCAAAGTACTAACTATATACCAGGGATATTACAAAGAACCTGACGTACGTTATATAATTTAATGATAATAATTTATGAAACAGGTGATATTATTCAAATTTTACAAAAAACACAGGAAGTGACAGCAGCAGGATGAGGAACTAGGAAGTTCTAGGCCCTGTCAAGAGTCTTTATGTTCTTCTTCGAACCCCAAGCCACATGAGACAGCACCTAAACAAACAAGAATGTTGGCCTTGAGTTCAACATTCCTTCTTTCGTGGGGCCCAGGAGGCAAGATTTGGGTGGTATTCTCCCAATCTCAGATCGCTGAAAACAGGTGCATGCTCTGGTGGTTAGATCAGCAGAGACTCTGCAGTCCCACAGAAAGGCAGCAGGGGAGCAAGAGATCAAATGCAAAGGATTATGACAGAAACAGAAAACAAAAGCTCCAGAGAAACAGGAAAATAAGATAGTCAAAAGCTCATCTATAGACTAGCATAAAAGCAAAAAACAAAACCCCAAAGAAAGTAAGTCCCAATAAAAGGTTTGAGAGGTCTCAGACCTCTGGCCAAGCTGATTGGTGAAGGTCTCCCTCTGGACAAAAGCCAGCTGCAAAGAGTAGGAGAAGCAGCTATTTTTTCAAATGCCCAAATCTCAACAAAATACGCAAAGAAACAAGGAAACATAATCCAACTAAAGAAAGGAAACAAAAGTCCAGAAACAAATCATAACAAAATGAAGATCTATGAAATGGCTGATAAAGACTCTAAAATACTTGCTTTAAGGGTGCTCAATGAGCCAAAAGTGCCCACAAATAGACAAACTAAATCAGAAAAACATGAGAATATCAAAAAAGAGAAACTATAAAATATAACCAAATAACATTCTCAAGCTGAAAAAGTACAATAACATCTTTCTCAGATGAAAAGGTAGAAATGGCAAAAAAATAATATAAAAAATGTTCAACATCATTGGTCTTTGGAGAGATGGAAATTAAAACAATGCTGAGATTTCATCTCATTCTAGAAAGGATGGCTATTGTCAAGAAATCAACAAAAAGCAAATGCTGGCAGGGCTGTGGGGAAAAAGGAACCCTTCTCCACTGTTGCTGGGACTGTAGACTGGTGCAACCAGATTTCCAGGTGGAAATCAGTGTAGAGATTCCTAAAAAAACTAGGATTAGAGGTCCCATTTGACCCAGATATTCCCCTTCTTGGTATCATCCCAAAAGAATTAAAAGCATCATACCACAGTGATATATACACACCCATATTTACAGCAGCACAGTTTGTCATAGCTAAATCTTGGAAAGAGCCCAAATGCCCATCAATTGATGAATGGATAAAGATGTGGTTTTTTTATACAATGGAGTATTACTCTGGCATAAAGAAGGACAAGCTCGAGACATTTCTAGGTAAATGGATGCACCTTGAGACCATATTTTTAAGGGAAATAAGTCAGACACATATGTTTACATACCACATTGTTTCTCTGGTGTGAGAAACAGAAAGAATAAATAAGGACCAAAATGTGTAATAGATATTGGGAAATAGGAAGAACATGTTCACATGAGAAGGGGAACAAGGAAGTAGGGAGGGGAGAAGGAAGGAAGGAACAAGAAAAAAGAACAGAGGAGAAAAATGGAAACAAAGATCTTGTAAATAATCAGGGGAAGAGGGGTTGAAGGGAGGGGAAGGGATTGGAGAAAAAAGAATCAAGATACATTATGTACAGGTACAAATTCCCTATGATGAATGTTATCATGATGTATATCTAAAATGTACAAAATAAAATTAATTTAAAAATTCATAGAAATGCACATCAGGAAAAAATACAATTTTACTGTATGATAATTAAAAAACAGAATCCATACTTCCTACAAAAGATTCTCTTTAGATCTAAGAATACCTGTACATAGGATGAAGTATCAAGGATGGAAAAAGATATTCTGAGAAAATGGTAAATAAAAGAGATTAGGAGTGGGTATAATAATATCAGACACAATAGACTTAATTAAAAAGTATAATACACCTGGGCCAGGAATTTAGCTCAGCAGCACAGTGCCTGCCTGGCAAGTGGGAGGTCCTGAGTTCGATCCCCGGTACCTAAAAAAAAAAAGTATACCACAACCATATACTAAGACAAATAAAAAATTAAAAACAAGACAAGGAAGGACATTATGTAATGATAAAAGGGTCAGTTCATGGGGCTGGGAGTGTAGCTCAGTAGTAGACTCATTGCCTACTACGTATGAGTCCCTTGGTTCAATCCCAGCCCAGAGAAAAAAATTTATCACTAGGTGTGGTAGTGTATGCCTGTAATCCCAGCACCCTGGGAGGCAAAGCAAGAGGAGTACAAGTTTGAGCCCAGCCTGGCCAACTCAGTGACTTAGTGAGACCTTGTCTCAAAAACAAAAAAATTTTTTAAAACAAAACAAAAACAAGTCCTGAGGATGTAGGTCAGTGCTAAAGTTCTGGGTTTGAGGTTCAATCTCCAGTAGTACCACAAAAAAGGAGAGATCAATTAATCAGAAAGATATAACAATTATAGATATTTATAGACCAAAACCTCCTATATACATGAAGCAAATTTTGACAACACAATAAGTGCAAGACTTCAATATCACAGTTTCAATAAGGGAAAGGACATCAGACAGAATTACCAAGAAGAAAATAGAGGATTTAAACAACATTATAGACCAGTTGGACCTAACATATATATGCACAAAATTCCACCCAACAATAGCAGAATACACATTCTTAAGTTTAAAATAGATTGCACATGAAATCTTCTATAGGACAAAACACGTTTGGCCACAAAATAAGTCTTAACAAATTTTTAAAAGCTAAAGTCATAGCATCTTTTTCAGTCACAGTGGAACAAAACTAGAACTCAATAGTAGACGAAGACTGGAAAATCCTCAAATACATGGAAATTAAACAACACAATCCTAAATAACCACTGGGCCAAGAAATAAATCACAATGAAAATCAGAAAATATGTTGAGACAAATGAAAACAAAAATGCTGCATACCAAAACTTATGTGATGGAGCAAAAGCAAGGTTAAGAGGGAAGCTTACTGGTGCAAACTTTATATTAAAAAAGAGAGATCTCATATCAACAATCTAACACTGTATTTTAAGACACAAGAAAAAAATAACCAAACCCAAAACTAACAAAAAGAAAGAAATTATAAAATACTACAGCAGAAATAAATGAAACAGAGAATAGAAAATAAATTTAAAAATCAATTTGGGCTGTGGATTTAGCTCAGCAGTGCCACCACCTGCCTCACAAGCTCAAGATCCTGAGTTCGATCCCTGGGACCAAAAATAAATAAATAAATGAATGAAAATAAAAATCAGTTTAACAGAGATTTTAGAAACAGATGAACATTAGCAAAACTTTAGCTAAATTAATTAGCAAAAAGAGAGAGAAGACTCAAAATGACTAAAACCAGAAATGAAAGGGGTCATTACAATCAATGCCAAAGAAATAAAAGGACTATAGGAGAATATGGTGAACAATTGCATGCCAATAAATTGGATAACCAAGAAAAAATGGATAAGTTTATATAACTAACACAGCACAGAAAGATTTAGTAATATGCGCAAGATAACATAACTAACAAATAATGCAAAACAGAAATTAAGACATTAGTCTGACCTCAAGGTCCATATTCTTGCTATTATGAAGTGGCAATGAAGTATGCTGATTTCTAAGTCTACTAGTTTATTTGGGAGTAAATGCATCAAAAATTTATCTCTATAATGTGATCAGAAAAAGAAAGAGCATAAATATAATATTTTCTTTCATGTCTTTGTGGACCTTTTTGGTATCAGCTTGGATTCTACCATTTCTACCTTCAAGCAGCCAAGAAAAACACATTTCTCTGTGCCAATTTTTAGGATGCAAAAATGTAGTGTGTATGTGCTAGTGAAAATGAAAGAAGCCCAGCAATATCTTCCTTATTTTTTTTCACTTTGAATCACCTCTTTATTGGAGTCTCTAAAGGAGACTGCAGATCCCCACACACATAAGGATGAAGCATTACCTATGCACTGCATATGTCCTACATATGGATACCATATTCTAATGGTTTCTAGGATAGCAGCACAGGCCTGAAGAAACTATTAAGAAACATTTACATCATCAGATTCAGTTTTTGAGGTACTGAGATCAAACTCAGGGCCTTACACATGCTGGGGATATGCTGAACAACTGACCAACATGCTTAGCCCATGAAATCCATATTTAAAAACCTGATGGAAATCATATATTCATATGAAATAAATTCCCCCAGAACTAGGATAAAGTAGTTTTAATAGTGTGGATAACTTTAGTTAAAAAGCCTTGTTCTTCTGTGTATCACTTCCTTCAGCCTCAGTGCCCTCATCAGTAAAACACAGAGAAGCCCACACCTGTTGTATTGCATTGTTGTAACAATAGAATGAGATGAAGTAGGTAAAGTACTCAGGACAATGTTCAGTAAGTACACACAGCAAGTGCTCAATGAATAGTATTGTCATCACCACCCATCCATTCAATACACAACAACACAGGCTGGTTCTCCCTTTACAGGTAAAAGAATGCACTATTATTTTAGACACTAGATTTGCTCATAACTTTACCTTCATATCATCTCTCCATTCATTCATTCCATAACTCTTGGAAATTTCTGGTTGGAAAATCTGCATTTTTGCCATGGATGTAGCCAGACGAGTTAAAGATTGACGGCCACTTCCTCCAAGTCCAACAAGCAAAGCATTTCCACCAGACTGCTTCAGAATTCTACATATTCTTGATAAATGTTCCAAAACATACCTATCAAAAATAATTTTATTATACATGACAGTATTCAGTAATCCCTCAGTTCACAAATTCTTCTGTTCATAAACAATTCAGTTTGCAAACAGAAGTTAGACAAAATTTTGCTTCTGTTCAAATTCCACATTGGATGACTAACACGAACACAACTATCATTCCCCAGAATCATGGGACAAATTAAGTTCATGAACTGAGGTACCACTGTACATGTAAATATACTTACCATTTATTATGTATCACTTAAAATAGCATGCTATACTGTAAATATACACAATAAAATTTATTTTTTAAAAATACAAAATAAAGCATTCAAAATAAGATTGTTCATATATGTGTAGGGAAATACATATGTGTAGCAAAAGTCCAAAGAAACACATGAGTTTCTTTTTACTACTATAGGTCATAATTAGGGACACAGTGAGGCAGGGCTGGGTACAAGAGGGAACTAGAAATAAATTGCTAGTATTTTATATCTTAATGTGATGATGGATGTTCATGTATTTTTTCTTCATTATCTTTTTTGTACATTTAAATATTTTATAATAAAATTTTAGCACTTTCAATCATCAGTATCAAATGTAGGTACCTAAACACGACAAGATTCATTCTTGTTTTGTGAGTTTGGTTATATTCATCTAAGCATTGGTCTACAATGTCATTAAAATGGTGGATATTTGTAATTTCAATATAAACTCTATCATCTCCTTCAAGGTCAGGATTCATATAATCACCAAACATGAGATTTCTTAAGTCTTCTTCAGTTGTCTATAAAACAGAAATAAACAAATGATAAAACTTAATTTTTTTCTGAAATAAATGTTTTAATGTGCAAAATTTTGTTTTACCCATGTTATGAAATGATTATTAGTTGGATAATTATTTTAAACATTAAGGTAGGAAGTGATATACTTATAAAATGAATAACTAAAAAGATACTCTTCTGAAATAAAAAAAGTTTTGGAATTTTTCTAGAAATTGGAGGATCATTTTGGGTAATTCCCATTTTGGGTGATTTTGGTTAATTCCTTAGTTACTAAGGGATGGTATCATGTTAGGCACTTTACATCTGTTATGTCATTTAATCCCTATCATGTAAGGGGTTATTCTTTAAATAACTTCTGTTATATACATTTCTTTGAACATTAATCTTATAATAAATAACTCTCTATAAGAAGAGCTAAATGAATATGTCCATTTAAAAGCAATGAGACTTTAAAAATGTTAATTGAGTATAATAATTCATACAATTTTACTGTTGTAACTTGATATGTTTTAAATCATTAAGTATACTCACTGGTTTATTCTCTTTCCTCAGATGTAAAAAGATACTATCAAATGATTCCTTAAAATGGTCCTTTGTAACAGTTTTAATTAATTTGAAGAGCCACTTTCGATCATCATCATTAATGAGACGATCATAAAACACTCGGAGAACCTCATGCACAAACAGACGGATCATAGTTTGCTTGTTCTCTACAGCATGTCTTTTGATGAGTAAACAGCCCCGGATAACACGTGAAAAATCACGCAAGTTGAAAGTATAATGAGATTTTGTGGGAGTGGGCAAAAGATTTTCCATGGATTGTTTATATACCTGTATATGAAAAATGCAACAAAGCAAAAATGAAATGCTTATAACCAGCAAAGTTATAACAAAAAATATAAGAAAGATTTTATTTATCCTATCAGATTATATCAGCTTGATAAAATGTATAATAGTAAGCCGAGTATAGCATATATGTTTAGTTTGGCCTACAGCACTCAACTAGGCTTTAGGAAGTTGAGGAAATTTAATATTCCCTCAACTTGTATTCCATCCAAGCCTATTTTATTTCCAAGTTGTTTTACTTTATAGTTGTTTTATTTAATGATGACCTGAGATTAAGCAGTTAAAAACTGCAGTAGAAAGTGAAATTAGTCAACTCATTCTGAAGTGGATGAAATAACTTCCTGTTAACTTGAAAACAAGTCAGGGATACATTTGTTAGCTTACTCCTTTCTACTTGAGAACGCATTGTCAAAGTCTTCCCATTGTCTAAGTCAGAATCTCCTATAAGGCCTGAACAGCTGCAGAAGCTCTTCATCAGAAGGCTGAACTTTATAACAACTGATGAGAGTCTAAGAAGCCATTTTGAGCAATAGGGAACATCATAGACTAGGTGGTAATGAGAGATCAAGACAAAGTGCTCCAGGGCCTTTGAGTTTGTTACATGTGCCATCGTGGAGAAGGGTTGCAACCATGATGGTAAGGCCACACAAGGTGAGTGGAAGAATTATAGAGCCAAAGAAAGATGTCTCAAGAGAATATTGTCGAAGACTAGATGCACTCTTAACTGTGAAGATTCTTTTTGGTGGCATTTAGAAGACTGAGGAACATCACCTATGAGATTATTTTGAACAATATGGAGAAATCTAAGTCACTGAAATCATGACTGACTGAGGCAGAGGAAAGAAGATGCGATTTGCTTTTGTACCTTTTGACAACCCTGATTCTGGATGAGATTGTCATTCAGAAATATCATATTATTAATGGCCACAACTGTGAAGTGAAGAAAGCCCTATTAAAGCAAGAGATGGCTAATGCTTCGCTAGCCAAAGAGGTTAAAGTGGTTCTGGAAACTTTGGTGGTAGTCATGGAGATGGTTTTGTGGCAATAACCCTAATGTACATTCCACAGAACTTGGTTATTGGGCTAAATACATTCCATCCTCCTCTCCCAAATTAACCAAGGTGGTCAGATCCTAGGGCTGTGCCAAAGGATTATACTTAGCCATACTCAAAATATCTAACTGAAAAACAACTTAAGAGATCTCTATACTACCAACAAAGTATTTACAATATAAGCATCCACAAACTTCAGTATGAAACAAAACAAAACAAACAAAAACAATAGAAAAATGTGAAGACAATGCATCAAAATGCCTCCCCAAACTCTCAACTCCCCTGAAGGCAATCTAGGGACCACCAAGGGGCAGAATAGCATAAGCCACACACCTGGGATTAGTCAAAAAGGTAATAGAGCAGGTTAGAAAACAGACCAAAGAGGTACTCAGTGGGATTAGAGAAAATATAACTAAACAGGTAAAGGAACTATTAATCCAAAAGGTGCAGAAACTATCAGAAGACACTAATAAAAAGTTAGATGAGCTAAACAAAATGATACAAAACATGAATGACTAATTTACCAAAGAACTAGAGACTATGAAAAGATTTCAATCAGAAATCCAGGAGATTAAAAATCATATTGAAAGTATGGGCAACAGAAGTAACCAATGTGAGGACAGGATTTCAGAACTAGAAGACAATGATGCCTTCAAAGACCAACTACTCAAGGATACTTTAAAAACAAGAGAACATGAAAAATGGATCCAATAGCTGCTAGATGATGCAAAGAAGGCTAATCTAAGAATAACTGGAATAAGTGAAAAATCAGAACACAGTACAAATGCCATAAAAAAACCTGCTCACTGAAATAATGGCAAAAACCTCCAAAATATAGGGAAAGTAAAAAACATACAGATGAATGAGGCATAGAGAAGCCCAAATACCGAGGTTCGTCCCAATACCATCGGTAAGTGCACAAGACCCTAGCCAGAAGCTTGCTCACACAACAGGAACTGGGGTGCACAGTCCCCAGCCAAAGGCCCTCCCAGACAACAGGTACATAGGGGCCCTAGTCAGAGGCAAACCTAGATACCATCCCAAGTGTGCACAGGCCCCAGCCAGAAGCCCACCCAGGCAACAGGTTAGCTCAGGGATCCAGAAGCCCACCGTTCTAAACCCAGGAATTAGTGTACTGGTGAGCAGCAGAGAAAAGGCTGCTCTGTGGCTTGCTGAAAATTGAAGACCACTGGGTGAGCAAAGAGTTGCCTCAATAAAGGCACAGCAGGCTGCATCTGTTGAAATGAGAAGACACATAAACAAGTCTCAAAAACAGACTTCCAGATCACCTAAGGCAACCCCAAAGGGAAACAATATAGAACAATCTGATACTCAACAGCCTGGACTCCCTGAACTGGCAACAAAAGAGGATCTGGAAGAAATGAAATCAGAAATAATTTCTCAGATAACAGCAGAGATTATGCCCATAGTGCAAGATATGATTAATAAATGTAGAGAGGACACAGATTAAAAAAAATAGAGGAGCTGAGGAACATGATGGAACATGTTAGGAAACTAATGGAATCCATAAAACAGATGCAAACAGATTTCCAGGAGATTAAAAACTCCACTGAAAGTTTACCCAGCAGAATGAGCCAATATGAGGACAGAATTTCAGATATAGAAGATAAGATTGCAATTAGTGACCAGGAAAAGAAAAATTTCTTTAAAATAGTAAGGGACCACGAGAAATCAACCCAGCAGCTGCTAGATGATGCAAAGAAGAATAACATAAGACTGA